ATCGACAGTACGTGCACCCACAAACTACTCATTTCTCTAATAATTACACAGAAATGACAAGAAACACATTGACTTAAACATGACATTTTATGTTAATAATCTGCATCTATTTGCAACTTTAAAAAAAATCAATCAGCTAGTCAGTCAGCTGTGGCTGCATCCCATCTGCATACTTTTCATTCTAAATATAATGTAAGAAAAAACAACAAAAAAAACATTTTATTCATCAAGGACTCATTCAGTTGATCAAAGGTGACAGCGAAAGGCATTTATAATGTTACAAAAGATTTCTATTTCAAATAAATGCTGTTCTTCTGAACTTTCTGTTCATCTGTGAATCCTGAAAAATAAAATGCATCACAGTTTACACAAAAATATTGTGCAGCACGACTGTGTTCAACATTGATAATAATCAGAAATGTTTCTCGAGCAGCAGATCAGCATATTATACTGATTTCTGAAGATCATGTGACACTGAAGACTGGAGGAATGATGCTGAAAATACAGCTGCACATCACAGAAATACATTACAGTTTAACAGATATTCACACAGAACACAGCTGTTTTAAATTGGAATATTTCACTATTTAAAAAAAAAACAAGGACAGATCATGTGATCATCTGAGGCATGCCAGCCATTGTTAACGGCCAGTTTATATTTACACATGCAAAAACATACAAATAAAACAATAAATCTGTTGTATACTAAAGTGAGGAATCATTTACGGAACCATGAGAGTTAGGACTGCTTTCAATCAATGTTCACACAATATAAAATTACCACATTATTCAATATATATTTCAAGTTAGTTGCCAAGGCGATATTTCTATTCTGTTATTTTAACTTTATATCAACTAATGAAAACATTTTTTAATCGTTTTAGTTGTATTTAACAGGACCAACACTAGAGTGAGTGAGCTGCAAGTGTTTGGACATGTTTTCATAATTTGGATTCTGATTTCATACAGTATCTTGTCATTCTGAGTTTTCAGATTTTTTTCTCGGAATTCTGAGGGTTTTTCCCCACCACAGAATAAAACATTTAAAAAAAGATAATTGTGACTTTTCATCTTACAATTCTGACTTTTTGTCTTGCAATCTCAAGTTTATATCTTGCAATTCTGACTTTATTTTTCACAATTCTGCGTTCATATCTGAGTTTATATCTCACAATTCTGTTTATATCTCAAAATTGCAAAAAAAAAAAAAAAAAAAGGCAAAGTGCGAGATAAAAAGTCATAATTACCATTATTATTATTTTTTTAATGTGTTGCATGAACCAGCTTGCATAGACAACCCCTTAAATGAAGATTAAACGTTTGCTTTACATTAAAACTGACAGTACATTGGCATTAGAGGAACGTTATAGCAACCTTATCGTAACATTTACACTACTTTACCATCAGTACCACAATATAAAAGCACCAGTTTATTACATAGGCACAGCAATACATGACCATCAAACCAACATGAGCTTCAGATTGAAACGGCATTATGAATGAGGTTAGAATGGAGG